TCGTTTTGTTGGTATTTATCCATCAATTTCTTCGTCTCTTCTAATTTCACTTTATATTCACGCGATTCAGACCTCCATTTGTTGCAGTCGTTGGACACCATTTCCAACAGTTTGTCAAATCTGGAGACATATGAGAGACAAATGTTCAGTTAAAACAAGAGTTTATGACAATCGAGAGGACAGGGATCTAATGGGAGGCAAAGGGCGAAAATGGCGGGCAAAGTGTGGGCCCCGGGAGGCAGACCTTGTGTATTGGTTGAGCTGTCGGTCGAATTGGACGAAAGAGTCGCAATCCTTGAGGTACTGCTCGATGTCTTTGAGTGAATGTCTGAGTTTGAAGAGTATATTAATGATGAGAACCGTAACTCGTGTGCGGTCTTCGGGATCGCCGAAGTTGAGGTCATCGATGAAGCACTTGCTGTTGTAGTGCCTGAGCAGCCACTCCCTGATGGAAAGCTCGCGCTCCTCGTCGGTGTCGATGGCCTCGTGCTGGTCATGAAGGGATGCGCCGGCGGTGTGGCCGTCGAAGGCGGCGGTGATAATCGAGATCAGGTTCAGCAGCCGCTCCAGAAGGCAGTCATCGTTGAAGGTCTTGATGAACGGGATTTCGCAGATAATCATATTCAACAGTCGGATGCAATCGGCTTTGTTGTGCTCATAGAGTTCAAGCATTATTTCCGGCAATCATTTGTCACCTGAAGGACCAGTTGTAAGACATTCAAAGAGTTTTCAAATGTTTTTGGCAGCCATTAGTTGTTTACGGCGCCGCTCATGAAGTACGTGACCCGCGCGTGGGTAAGGGTTTGCGCTAACAGTGAGTGACAGTATGGGCTGACAGTGAGTGGGGCACTGGTTGTACGGCAATAACATTACGTTCGCTGTGTATGCGTCCACACATGTCTTGCGTGACACTCACTGTGCGGCGAATCATAGCCTTTGAAAAGGGGTTTCACTGAATAGGCCTTCAATTCATTGGTTTTGCATTGAAGTGATGCTCAAAATTGTTTGAAAATGTTTTTATCGTTTTATAATTTAGTTATTAATTGCTTTTAATTAAGTTATTTTTAGTTAAGTTATTTTTAGTTAATTATTATTAAAGTGAGCTAACATTGAAATCGATGGACAGGTATTTTTAGCGTAAGGTTTAATGCGTAAACTTAATAACAAAAAAGTTTTAAACTTTTTTTATGCAAAACTTTATTTTCATGAATAATTAGTTTTCAATTAGAAATTACTGTAAAAGTCATTAAACCGATCAAATGGTGATTTTATAAGATATGTCTCTCACCAGAAACAGGTCCACGTTTAGGACAAGTAGTGATTTATACGATAAGTAAACATTGAATCCGTTTCTGCCCTCAATAACAACAAAAATAAAGTTTTTATACCTTTTTAATAGACTTAACGTTAATGTAACCAGAATTTCGAAAACATGTTTCATACTAATTAATGGACTATTAGTTGTTAATTATAATTTCTTAAATATATAATTTATTACAAGTGATCATTTACTTCAGAAAAGTTAAACCAAACCTTTATACTAACATTTTAATGATAAACAAATTTATTCAACAAAATTCCAGGCAATGAATGAATGCTAACAACTTGTTTAGTAACAAGCTACCTGTCCATAAGTTTTAATATTACCTAACGGGTGTCTAACTGTCTAATTGTTAGTTTGTAGATTGATTAATTTACATAAACCTGTTTAATTTTTTCAAGCTTATTTCTCTATATATAGTGTTACTACCCGACGATTGTCTAAAATACCAATAAATTCATTCTCAATGGCCTTCACTGGCTGTCAATCATTTGATCCCAATTTAAGCGCTGACCTCTTAATTATGATATATTTTTACGGATTGCAATCCATTATCAATTGTACCCTGTGTTTCCTTATTAGCCACTTTTCTTAAACATATTTGTCTAGTGTATTAATATTGTACATTAGTTTTATTAACAAGTCTTATGTTTTGTGTTAATCTTTTTCTTAAACACAGTTAAAGTAGTGTTAAATAACTATACTATGAGTTAAACCTTTTGGTACAACATTTGGAAAACCGGTAAAATTTTTAAATATTTTTTTTGTAATAAATTACTAGTTTTTATTACACTTTTGAAATGAAATTCTTATACTTTTGATACACCGTTACAATTGACACTTTTGGTTACAAAACTCAATTTAATTCAATAGTTGTGAACGCCTTTCCCAAAGAAATGGTAAAAGTTTTATTTGCCTAATCTTATCCACAATACGCTATTATCTTAAATGAATGTTTATATTTGTAAACATCGTTTCATGACTTAATAGTCATTTAAAAGTTTAACTTAATATAAATATTTATCAACTATTATAATAAGTGGTGTGTAAAACAATTATTGAGTGTATGTTCACTGAGTTTCAGTCCGCGGTTTCAATGACAAATCATATGAATAATGCTTTATAAATACATTTTTTATAAACACATTTAAAACATTTTTTAAAAACTCGTTTCGAGTGGAAAATTCCCGTTAATTCACATCATTTTTTTCACGATACTTTTCCGCCAAAAATCAATCTTAAAACCCATTTTATACACAGTATTCACATAAGTCTATTAGATTATAAAGTTAAGATGCATTGATTTATTGTTGATTAGTTTCAGTGCTAATTTTAATTTAGTTTCAATAATTTTAAAGAATTTTTGTAATAGATCTTAATGTTTCATAGCCTTGAATATTTAAGTTATGATTAAACCTCAAATTATATAATATATAAACTCTTTTTTTAAAGTAATCTCTGGTTTTAAAGACCAATACATTCACATCAATGGTATTATCAGTGAAAAACACTGCATTTCATACAGTTTTCGCAGCTAATAGTTTTTAATGTTTATTAATGGACTCATTTGTTCCCGATTTACGCCTATCTACTGGTGGTATGTCTTTGCAAAACTTCAAAAACCTATGACTAGTCTATCAGTCGTTAATTGAATGAACTTTTATTTACATTATAATTGAGGTCTTTGTGTTAATTAATTTTTAACCCTAAAAAGTTTTAAACATTTGGCAAATACGGCACTAAACTGCGAAATTCACGAAAACACGTGATAAACAAATTTATAACAGAATATTCTGGAGAAATAAATTAAAATTTTATCATAAGATAAATAATGTCTATTTGCACTCAAATTATTGTCTTTATTTGTTTTTATTAGATTGTTTTATTCAGTGATATTATTAATTGACTACAAAAAAGGCCTCAAAATTCATATACAGTACTATATTCATGAATGCAATGATACCATGAATTTGCTATCAAAACAGGAAAAATCGATGACATAAACAGTGGATTCAAATTCATGGCTAAACTAACGTTTCAAATGCCATAAAATTCACCATTGAATACAAACTTTAATAATAGTTATAAAACTTTTCCAATAAACTACTGCTAGACTAAGTTGTTATCAATCGGTTATTTTAGTTGCATTTTATAATTAGTAACGAAAAGATTAGCGAAAGTAAAATGAATTATTGATTATTTGAATGCGAAACTAATTTATTTGTTTGTTGAAACTTTTTTTTAACAATTTATCGCTAATGAAATTCAATTATATAATTTATATGTAAAGCAATTGTTTGAATTGCTTTCACTTGTAATCTGTGAACTTCTCATCACAAGTAACTGTTTAACTGATTATTTATTTATAATTAATTATAAAAATTACTAAATCTATGTGACGTAAGATTCAACCCCTAATAAATTCTGTGTATTAACCTACCAGTGCTCCAGTGTATTGTCAGTAGTTGAGACACAAATGCTTATCTATAATATTAGTCCTCAAAACCAAACATTAGGCAAAAGAAAAGTTTTTTATGCGAATGTTTTATCAACTATTTTGCTAATAATAACTGATAACAGACTCAATGTATTCAATGTTTTGTCTCTTAATATAAAAAAGTGTTTCTTATTTTTCAGTACTAATATTAAATTTAAATATAGATTTTATATAAATAATTTATAGCACTTTTCAGGACTTCAATTATCTGAAATACAATTAATTTTGTTTTATAATCTGGGTTTTATTGANTTGTAATAAATTACTAGTTTTTATTACACTTTTGAAATGAAATTCTTATACTTTTGATACACCGTTACAATTGACACTTTTGGTTACAAAACTCAATTTAATTCAATAGTTGTGAACGCCTTTCCCAAAGAAATGGTAAAAGTTTTATTTGCCTAATCTTATCCACAATACGCTATTATCTTAAATGAATGTTTATATTTGTAAACATCGTTTCATGACTTAATAGTCATTTAAAAGTTTAACTTAATATAAATATTTATCAACTATTATAATAAGTGGTGTGTAAAACAATTATTGAGTGTATGTTCACTGAGTTTCAGTCCGCGGTTTCAATGACAAATCATATGAATAATGCTTTATAAATACATTTTTTATAAACACATTTAAAACATTTTTTAAAAACTCGTTTCGAGTGGAAAATTCCCGTTAATTCACATCATTTTTTTCACGATACTTTTCCGCCAAAAATCAATCTTAAAACCCATTTTATACACAGTATTCACATAAGTCTATTAGATTATAAAGTTAAGATGCATTGATTTATTGTTGATTAGTTTCAGTGCTAATTTTAATTTAGTTTCAATAATTTTAAAGAATTTTTGTAATAGATCTTAATGTTTCATAGCCTTGAATATTTAAGTTATGATTAAACCTCAAATTATATAATATATAAACTCTTTTTTTAAAGTAATCTCTGGTTTTAAAGACCAATACATTCACATCAATGGTATTATCAGTGAAAAACACTGCATTTCATACAGTTTTCGCAGCTAATAGTTTTTAATGTTTATTAATGGACTCATTTGTTCCCGATTTACGCCTATCTACTGGTGGTATGTCTTTGCAAAACTTCAAAAACCTATGACTAGTCTATCAGTCGTTAATTGAATGAACTTTTATTTACATTATAATTGAGGTCTTTGTGTTAATTAATTTTTAACCCTAAAAAGTTTTAAACATTTGGCAAATACGGCACTAAACTGCGAAATTCACGAAAACACGTGATAAACAAAT